TCAATAATGTTTAAATCATGTTCAGTAATGTTTAAACCATGTTCAACAACTCCTAAACCATGGTAAGCAATGTTTAAACCAATGTCAATAATGTTTAAACCATGTTAAGCCATGTTAGACCATGTTAAACCATGTTAAACACCCTACTATGGAGACCCTGCCCTTAGACCGCCTTTTGGCTGCTTGAGGGAACCTATTTTGGCCGCGTGGCGCGCTAGGAGCCCGATGGTTCCATGCAGGCGAAGCTGCAACGGAAGAGGAGCATCGAACTACAGTTTACATATTATATCTTTATTATCTATATATATATATATATCTAATTATATGTGATGTGTTGAGTGTATATTTTGTATTTGCAATATGATTCCTATAATAATTACATTTTGGTATTGCATGTAAATATTGTATTGATGGTGACCTCAAATGACCAAAAAATGTGTTGCAAGAGGCAATTGACTTCGTAAAAGAACAAGAACATTGGCCGTCAGATATGATAATTTCCAGCGCGTAAAATGGAGGAATCCTATAGATATATTCTCTACTTTTACGTTGGGAGTCAACCGTAAATGGAGGAATCCCTTCCATAAGTGTTGCATTTCGAGTCAAAAAGAGATTGCTGCGAGATCAAACGCTGTGCGCCAGGCACCAGCATATACATATCATGTCCGTATAGTACGTATGTTCCACATATCCATCATTAACTTTCCATATATCACCATATATCATCATATATAATCTATGCCATTTTTATCTATTTAAATGTCACTACATATCATATCCCTATGGATCCAAACACTCTCTGAGAAGGTACTTTAACCCTCCAAATTAAAATAAACTATACCCCAGTCCCACTTCCTTTCAGAAGGTACTTGGATCCATAGGGTATTTGCATGTTCATGTATGTGTATGTATATATATATATATATCTGGGTAAATTATAACGACCTCACTGTTCTCCCTCACTGGAATCATAGTCAATAAGGGATATCATCCCCAAACGGCCCAACAATTCAGGTTAGTGAAATATTTTAATTTACCCAGATGTAAATATATATATATATATTAGAGTGTATGGTATGCCCTCTGGTTATTTAACATAGCCATGGTATAGATGGCCCATTTATAGATGGTGTACCTATTAAAAGTGGTGATTTTCCATGGCAAACTGTTAAATAACCAGATGGTAGAAGAATATCCCTTCTCCCCGAGGTAAAAAGAAGCTAGGGGGCTACCCTGTTGTTTTATGTTATAAATGTTTTAAATGTTATAAATGTTGTTTTATGTCTTTCTTCTGCCACTGATCCTACTGATCTTCGGAGGACCTCTCGCACCTCCGCCATGGAGATTCCCCCGACGGAGATTTCGGAGCGTTTTCCCACGCTCAACGCCTAAACACTCAGAGAAGGAACGGCCCCGGTCAGTGCCAAAACGTGGAAAAAATAGGAAAAATATGGGTTTCAGTGGTTTATACCTCTAATAACCATTGGAAAATGGTGATCTAACCAAGAAAAACCTGGATTTTCATGGGATTTTGGGAACGAAGATCGTCATGTCATGGGATTTTTGAAGCAACAAAATACGATTTCTATGGTGGATTTACTGGGAGATTTCGGGAATTTCATGGCCAATGATGATTTGAAAACCAATGGGGACAAATTGGGGATGATGATCTCAACAGACCTTCATATTTTTCACGGGTAGGTATACCACCAACCAGTTATGGTTTGTTTGGGGCAGACCAATGGTGATCATCACTGACAGTTCGTCAAAAGTATTCGTTTTGCACCAACAGAGGCACACACACATACGCATGCTCAATCATTCATTCAAAAAAATCCCCCATGTATAGCTCACTATAAAGTGGACATCCTTTGCGCTTATAAAGTGGGTTTCCGGTCGCCACTTTATATACCGACAATGGGGGATAAAGCCGTGTTTTGCGCGAGAAACATGCCCTTGGACCTGGAAGATGACTTTATAGCAACGTTGGCTTTCCAGTTTATACCCGGCTGGTTCCCCACAAGGAAACGACTCAATATATGCGGCAATGCATTTTATAGACCGTTGGTTCCCTTCAAAGAATGGCCATAATATGTCACACCATCCACTTTATAGAAACATGTCTCCCCAATGATTTCGGGCCAATATTTTTCTGTTGGGGCTGTATACATGGCAAAGCACTTTATAGAGTGAAACTTGCCCTTTAAGAAGAAGAATTTGTGCTGCATCCAGGGCACTTTATAGAAAGAAAATTGCGGCAGAGCATTTTATAGAGTCATGAGATACATCACCCAAATCACTTTATAGAGCTGCCCAGGACCCCATTCACCCTGAGGACCCCTTTCAAGGGAAATCTTCTTCTCTATAAAGTGGCCAGTCCAGGTAAAACCCCTGAAAAAACAGAATCTATGTTGGACTGGCCACTTTATACCCCCTCCCCCAACAGAGAATGCCTCTATAAAGTGGCCAGTCCAGGTAAAACCCCTGAAAAAACAGAATCTATGTTGGACTGGCCACTTTATACCCCCTCCCCCAACAGAGAATGCCTCTATAAAGTGGCCAGTCCAGGTAAAACCCCTGAAAAAACACATTTTTACCTGGACTGGCCACTTTATACCCCCTCCCCCAACAGAGAATGCCTCTATAAAGTGGCCAGTCCAGGTAAAACCCCTGAAAAAACAGAATCTATGTTGGACTGGCCACTTTATACCCCCTCCCCCAACAGAGAATGCCTCTATAAAGTGGCCAGTCCAGGTAAAACCCCTGAAAAAACAGAATCTATGTTGGACTGGCCACTTTATACCCCCTCCCCCAACAGAGAATGCCTCTATAAAGTGGCCAGTCCAGGTAAAACCCCTGAAAAAACACATTTTTACCTGGAATGGCCACTTTTTACCCCACCAAAAAATCATCCTAAAAATCTATGGACATCTATGGACCAAAACCACGGCCACATGCCCATCCTCTATAAAATGGTTTGCAAGAAAGTTCAGCTCTATAAAGTGGCTTGATCACGTCATTTCTGGCAGCCCCACCCTCTGTATAAACTGGCCGGTCCATGCCCATCCTCTATAAAATTGTTTGCAAGAACCAGTAAAAAAATATTTTCGAAAGTAAACAATCCATAGTTTGAATCTTGTTGGGTCACGCATGGTGAATCGGCTGGACATTTGCCAACAGATTGGGAATACAATACTCAGCTAAAAGTTTTTGGTTTGGCATGTGTTTATGATTTATATATATTTATATTGATGTGTGAATCATAGGTATACATATGTTCCAAAATACATCTACAACATATTCAATATACCAATCATCGCCAATCTATATGACACATTGAAAACAATAAACGTATATAAACGTGACATGTCTCATTTTCTTGTGGTAGCCTTCCCGTTGTACCTCTCCGTTGTAGTTTTCCCCCTTTACCTTGTTGTCAGCCCTTCCGTTTCCGGGTCAAAGTCCTGGAGCCCACTGGCTGGGGTATAAAGTGGCCATTCCAAATAAAGTTTTAACTGGCCACCATTCCAGTTAAAAGGGTTTTTTCCGAGGTCTTCCTTTCTACCTGGACTGGCCACTTTATAGAGGCATTCTCTGTTGGGGGAGGGGGTATAAAGTGGCCATTCCAGGTAAAAATGTGTTTTTTCAGGGGTTTTACCTGGACTGGCCACTTTATAGAGGCATTCTCTGTTGGGGGAGGGGGTATAAAGTGGCCATTCCAAAAATTCTGTTTTTTCAGGGGTTTTACTTGGACTGGCCACTTTATAGAGGCATTCTCTGTTGGGGGAGGGGGTATAAAGTGGCCATTCCTGTTTTTTCAGGGGTTTTACCTGGACTGGCCACTTTATAGAGGCATTCTCTGTTGGGGGAGGGGGTATAAAGTGGCCAGTCCAACATAGATTCTGTTTTTTCAGGGGTTTTACCTGGACTGGCCACTTTATAGAGAAGAAGATTTCCCTTGAAAAATTCCTCAGGGTGAATGGGGTCCTGGGCGCGCCGCGCGCGCGCGCGCCAAAAAGGTGTCAAAATTGGAGGGACCTCTTTCACCCCAAGGACCCCTTTCAAAGGAAAGTGTGTTAGAGGCATTCTCTGTTGGGGGAGGGGGTATAAAGTGGCCAGTCCAACATAGATTTTGTTTTACCATAGATTCTGTTAACGACTTCGATATAGATATTTGTCTGGCTGTCGGTTTCGTTCGGTTTCGAAGTCATTCGAAGTCTTTTGGGTTCCCCATCGATGAGATCGATGATATTCCCCCAAGGTTTGAACGTGGCCCCTCAACTTTATAGACAATCATGTCGATGCTGCCATCGTCGCGATTAAGAAAATCATCGCTACTACAACGATCGTTGTTTAGCCGGAAATCCACATTATAGTGCCACTGTTCTGCACAAGTATTACTATCTGGATGTTCGGCATCTCACTTTATAGTCATGGGACATGTTCACAAGTACCCTCAAAAACCTGCATCGAGTTTTATGTTTTTACGCGGCCAGGCGACTTTATACAAACGTTGGATTTTGACTTTATAGACAAAACATGTTGGCTTTCCACTTTATAGACTCCAGACATGTGGCCATTCCAGTTTATACCAGGCTATTCTCTATAAAGTCGGCCGCAAAGCATCTAGCGGGCTATACATGGGGGATTCAAAAAACAATGGAAAATCAAGCAGATCAGCATTTTGAGAATGCTTAAACAACAATTTCGAACGGGGCCGCGGTTGTTCTCCCAGTGTTTAGGGGGGTTCGTGTTTAACCAGGGATGATGATCCTGAATCCTGAATAGTCAATTTTCATCAGAATTTTACGGTGATTTCAAAAGATTTTCAGCAACTTTAATCGGTGACTTGTTTTGTAGGTGGTTTAGATTTGCCGATTTTGATTTTTTTATTTGGAACATTTTTGTTAAACCCAAAATGAGTTTTGTTGAGCATCAAAAGTGATTCGAAGTTCTGGAACATCGCCCGTTCCGTCGAGCTCAAGACACTGGAACCCCGCAATGCGTCTGTTCATGTCACATGTCACTTGGAAGATGGATGAAGCCCCTTAGCTTCAGGATTCCAGGGATTCCAGGGATTCCAGGGATTCCAGGGATTCCAGGAGGGGCACCACTGTTGAAAATCCATCAACCACCCATACGTATTACGGTAAGCCTACTTTGTGAACCGGGCGGTTTTTTTTCTCCGGGCTTGAGTGCTTTCAGTGATTTAAGCGCAATAAACATGATATTACTTTTGCATCAACGGATAGATTTGCTAAGATATGAGATGTTGACTGATGATGGGTACAGCTTGGGCACAGTCATTGGTTTGTCATGCGTTTTACGGAAGCTCTATAGTTAATGAATGGAACTGTTTGATCTGAGAGTATCTAAAGCAAACATTAATGTCAATCCTGGATTAAAAGAAATTATTTAAACCCTTGTTTGTCAAGCAGCAGGATTACCAAAAGAATGTGACTATGTGCTACTTCAATGGTACCCCCAAAGCAGCTGGGTTGTGAATCTGGGACAGGTAAAGCAGCGGAGAATTTGCGGGTCCAATCTTCAACTCGAAATGGTCCCTGCTACTAAATTGAAGATAGAACCCAGACATCAAGACAGATGTTTTTCCAGGATACCTGGTGGAAAGTGCAGTATTTCCAGGATACCTGGTGGAAAGTGCAGTATTCAGGTGTCATTATTATATTTTCGTAGCAGCAATCTCATGTGGAAATCCATGTAATATACACATTTACAAAATTGTGGAATGTCAAACCCTCAATAAACCATGGGTCATGAGATTTGGTTGGCTTCCGCCTTAAATAGTGATCGATTGCTACTCTCCCAATGGTTTTGAGCCGGGAGTAGCCCAACAGGAAAACCTCCCGATCCTTGATGAAAAAATGTCTCATTGCCATTTGACATGTGGGAACATTTATAGCAATTTACATCAATTGACACTGCTATTCCCATTAAAAACCATTAAAAACAGTTTCCATCAGTTTCTGGCGCCAGGTTCTCATCATTGCTTTGGTGGATCCTTTGTCGTCCGATGGCGGCTGAAGAATGCGTTTCCTGATGGATGAACGGAGATGGGGTTCTGCTCAAATGGCGACTTTGGATGGTTAGCTTTAGCAGCTTTAGCATGCCATGGGTGGTAATTTAACAAGATTCTAGCAGCCTGGCAGCTTGGAACATGGTCCTCTTATGGGTGATAAAAACCTATGAAAAATGGGCGATTTAGCCGTGGCAAACTGTTGAATTACGAGAGGTAACTGTAGTTTCAACCAACTAACATATCTAACATGCGGACTTTCACTAATTAAACCGTGGATTTGCAGCCATGCTGCTTTTGGTGTTTAGACACGTCTTAGTGGTCAGTACCTTGCTTCACTAGCCATTGACCGGATTGTGGCTGAAAATAAGTGGAGCAATTTTGAAACCATCCAATAATCATGGTGTGGTCAATTGGTAACCCAATTTGGTTCCATACCCAAAATGCCTTTCAACATCCAGGTGGGTAAATGATCATGCGTTTGCTTGCAATTCTGGACACAGCCGCGGGCTTCACCATTCATGCATAGAAGGTCATTCAGATTGCGCCACGGCAACCAGATTCGTAATGCATTGAAATTATGAACAACAGCTCCTTTATATATACTTGATATGGATTCCTATATGTTGTTATTTTTACACTACTTGAATACCAAACTGCGTATACAAATATCTACGGAATATATATATATATAGATATAGATATGTGTACCATATGTGTGCGTTTCTGTTGCGAAGGCGCTCAAGGACGATGACGCTGGTCTGGTGCAGATCTCCGCTGTGTCACTTAGATCTGCCTGGATTTGTGGAAACAAACGGGTGGATCGTTGAAACCTTTCATCGGATATTTATTCAGGTGTCGGTACCCAAATATCTGGAAAATATCTGGGAAACATCCTGGAAACACTTATTTATTACCATCTGGTTATTTAACAGTTTGCCATGGAAAATCACCATTTTTAATAGGTAAACCGGTAAACCATCTATTTCTATGGGCCATTTTCCATGGCTATGTTAAATAACCAGAGGGTACAGGAATGGGGCCAGCCAGTTAGTTTATAAACCATTATCATCCCCATTATCTACTTAATCTAGTTCGCTATATCTACCATAAACCAAAGTTAAGCCACTTATAAGGCAACTTAGCTATCTTGGGGGCCCCATCCTTTAGCTATAAATAGAAATATCGACGAAGCAGCAAACATAACTTTTTTTGGGGGGGCAGGGTATCTAAGATTGGCAATTGTGGAAGCCCCACAACTGGATCTGGGTAAATTATAGTGAACTCACGTCGTGACCTCACTGGAATCATGGTTAGTAAGGGATAAGTATCCCCGTAAAGCCTTATTTCAGGTTAGTGAAATGCTATATATAATTTGCCCAGATTCAATGGAATCATCAATTCCAAAGGAAAAGTAAGGAAGCCCGACATCTAACGTAAAGAAATGGTTCCAGTAAGAATTTCATTATTTCAATACTGATAACGGTGTTCGACTCGTAACAATGATCCAGACTACATGTCAAATTTGAAATAAGTGTCCCCACACTGACGAAAGTCTTTTGACCACTACATATTTAGGGACCGGGTGTCCCTCAAAACCTCCAGTGTAGGCTGCCCCTTGTGTCCAAATCCGCCAACCCATGCGCAATGCGGCGAGTTAAGCTGCTTGGAGGATCAGCCTAGAGTAACTGAGTAGCAACCAAAGTCATAATCTACATGTATAATCACACACACATGTGTGTGTGCATATGTAAATATAATGTGCATATATTTATCACTACACATGCACACGAACCAGTCGCCAAGCCGAATGATCCTCCAACTACGTTTGGTTGCTTCAGCCGTGTCCATGGTGCAAGGACCAAACTTGTCACAGAGGGCGTGACAGAACCAGAGGAACTGAGCAGCGTGCCTTGTTCGCGGAGGGTGGTGTTGGGGTGGCGGTTCGCTTTCTGGGTCAGCCATGTGTCTTTATTTTTCCGTTTTTGGTTGGTTGGTCGTTTTTGGTTGGTATTGTATATATTGTATTTGGCCATTGTTTGGCCAGAAATGGAGGAAGATCATGGATCCAAGACCATATCACCAAGAAATTCTTTTGTTGCAAAGTGTCAAGAACTATATACTGTATATATATATATAGCTGTGTTCAAGCGACCCACTCTATCCCAAACAAACTGATTCGCTTACTAGTTTCATATTCTGATGCGTCAACAAATTTCCACATGCTAATGATTGTCTATACACATTTGATGCGTTTTTCTGCACAAGCCAGCCCTCCAGCTTTTTTGCAAGAGGCGCTTTGTGAGTGACATATTAAGAGATGCCAGTAAAAGGGAGTGAGGGAACACGATATTCAGAGATGCCATGGAAAAGCCTCCAACTAAGATAGACATGGAACATCACCCGTTGGTGTGCCGAGGTGGTTGGAGGGCTTGGGGCGTTGTCACAGCACCAACCAGCAGACAGGAAAAACATGATGGTTTGCCGCGTATTCCCATTTGTTTATTGTCCACATCCATCTTGAGTCATACATATTTTATAAACGTATATATATATATATATATATATGTATATATATATATATATGTATATAAGCGTACATGTATATATATATATGTATGTATATGCGTACGCATATATATATATATATATATATATACATATTTATATATACATATGGGCCATGTGCATATATATATATGTATATATATACATATATATACACATGTTCATACATTGTATCTATATGTTGTACCTATATTTATAGTGTTCTCAGTCTAGTCACACATACCCATGGATAGAATGTATTAAAATGTAAATTATTTACACAAGTGTTTATGGTTTGAAGCTACCAGGTGGACGTGGAGTTCTCCTTGGTCGATGCTGATGGGGTACACCTCTTCGACTCCCATCCATCGCTGCTGCAGAAGCGAGGCGTTGATGAGTCGAGTTGAGGGATTTCATGGGGATTTAACCATCACTTATTTATCATACAAAAAGCTATTGAACATGGACCGTTTATAGTGGATTTACCCATTAACAATTGTGATTTTCAATAGTTTTGTCAGTTTACCAGAGGGTATGGTGGTTTAGCCATGAAAGATGTGGGGATGTAATTGATAAAAGATGGGGGCTATGATGAGTTTGGCGATTTTACTACCATCCATATAGCGGATTATCATCATCCATGTGCTGGGAATCCCTTTTCAACTAACCAAGCAGTTGTTGAAGGGACGACATTTCCGCTTTTGAACACTGCTCTAGGCTGTGTTAGCCATGCATTTTTTGATGGGGATGATGATGATGATGATGACGACGACGACGACACTGATGAAGAAGAAGATGACATGATGATGATGATGATGATGACGAAGACGATGACGATGATGATGAAATGTTACCTAATAATTATATAAAGTGAGATAATAAGTTAAATTTGTTCCGCTAGATATCGCTAGATAAATAATACTAAACACCCCCCATAGGGAAACCCAACATGAATATATATATATATATATACATATAGGTCGAATACCGAACCAAAGGTTTTAGATGCAGTACAAACTAAGCGGAATGGGATATCCGTTTGCCATATTTTTGGAGTCAGGAGTCACGCTTGAAGACCCACCAGCCCCTCAGTTGTTTGGCATGTTTTACTGTTTCAGTCAGACAGTAGTTTGAAGAGTCATTGTTGGCACTGTCTCACCTAGTATCTTAAAAACAACTAGAAGAGAGATAAAAAGGCTGTTGATTTCCCCAAATCCCGTGTTTTTTTCCTGGTGATTCCCTTCTCCTCACCATGACTCTGCTGCTGATGCTGGAGATGATTCTCCTGGTTTGATGCTGAGTTTCACTGCCTAGCCATACCCTCCAAAACCAAGAAAAACTGAGGGGGCCAACCAATGGGAATTTCATGAACCTAAAATACCATATAAGGCTATATGATAGGTAGCTCCAGTTTAGGTTCCTGAATTGACCATTGAGACAATTTTCATTATATATGTTTATATATATATATATATATTATATATATATATTCATTCTCGAAGATCTTGAAACACGAGACTTCCAAATGGCTGAAAAAAAAACATCACCATAGGCCCTACAAATTTGATTACAGGAAACTTGGTGGAGGAAACTTCCCATATTCCATGTTTAATGGTTCAACCCCAATTTTGTCCATCGTGAAACCAGCATGATTCATGTTTCAACCATGTTCAGCCAAAATTTTCCATGGCAAACTCCTTCATTTTTGATGGTTTTACCAACATTTTAAGGTTAAACCACCATGTTTGATGGTTAAACCACAATGTTTGATGGTTAACCACCATTTTTGATGGTTAAACCACTTTTTTTGATGGAAAAAGCACCTTTTTTGATGGGAGAACCCCCATTTTTCATGGTTAAATTTCATTTTTCCATGGTGAATCCAGCAGGTCAGAGCCACTTGGGCGATGCCCGGAGCAGCTCTCTGCGTTTGACCTTCGAGGCCCATGGGCACCGGGTGGATCTCACGTTCCAGCGCCTCGGTGTGACAAAACTCGAAAACATGTGTTGATCTATAATAATGATCTATAATGATCTATAGTAGTAGGAATATGATCTATCTATATACTATATATATATATATATAGGAATATGCTCCTAGGGTGGAAGTATCATTATGTATGTATATATAGAATATCTATAGTTAACAACACATAGATACTATATATATATATATATAGTTATGAATATTAGGAAGTTACTATAGTTACTATAGTAGGAATATGATCTAGAATTATCTCTATATATATAATTTAATATCATCATAATTCAGAATATGTAATGCAAGAACATGAGATGATGTGGGAGATATCGATATGAATGTTAATGTTCTAACAAAATGTGGATGAGATTTTCGGTAGATGGCAGTATCTCGTTGTAATTTCACTGCGGAGGATGGTTAGCAGGGGAAACCAACCAAAATTCAGTGCTTTTGGGCCGGTGAAGTATGTTGTTACAGATGTCGATATGAAATTGGATATGACGGGACATCATGGGATGCAATACATCTCAATTATTGCCATCTTATTTTCAAAGCTATTGACAATTATTGATGTTTGGATGTGTTTGGCGTAGCCAATGGAGAAACCCAAATGAAATCAACGCTATCCCTCAGGTGGGAACAGAGCAACTTTCGACCCATGGGATCCGCTAATAGGTTCTGGAAATCAAATCTGGCAGAAAATCCAACCATTTAGTTCGATGACTTTCCCAGCCACGGAGCTGATTTCTGAGTGCTACAGACGGATCAATTCCTTAAGTTCTCGCGGATAGAGACAGGCCCCCACGGCCCCCACTAAGGAAGCAGCGCGCGCCAATTTCGCGCAATGCCACCTTGACCCTTGGCACTGCCAGTGGCATGCAGCAGTTTCATATGCGAGATCGGCACGTCTATGTCCCTCGGCGCTGGTCCACGGTATCACTGATGTATGCCGTATGCCTAAGAAAAATCACATGTTTATTCTTCACATCATTTCACATCTTAGGTTTGATCCACAACCATGCGTAATTCACCAGTGGACTCAACGGTTCAGATCTTGAAATCTTGAAATCCCAAGACCATGTCACTCAGAAGATCCTTCACACTGCGATGTTTACCCATGGATCGCATGGGCATGTTTTGACGTACAAACATGCATTTATGATATGTTACATCATACACGCGCAGCTGTATAGATACATGATATCAATGATATACGATATGTACACCGTATGCGGAGTGTATATATATATATATATGCACGTATTGTATGTTGATCATTTCTCCCCGTTTTGTTTTTTGTTTTTAATACTGCTAGTATGTAAAGATCATCTTTCACATGGACGCCTTTTTCAGATCCCACCTGAGGTCCATCCTCAAGCTGTTCTCACTTCGGTGGCTAGCACGGTGACGGGTGTGCTACGAAATGGAGAGGTGCCATGGTGAGGCCATGGGCCGGAGTGTGTCAGATAAAACTATCACAATTATATATATATATATAATTATATATATATGCATATTATATGATTAATACATATATATATACATGTATATATATATGTATTTCTTTTTTGATACAGTTCTCGTGTTTTTTTCATGTATTCGATACGATGTGCTGCTATCACGGTGCATGAACCCGTTGAGACATGTGTTTCGAACCATGAACGGATGACCAAAGCTCCTCATGCAGCATGCAACCTTAATCAGGCATATTCAGCCATGATGAAAACATTGTATGGATTTCTTTGAACATAAGCTACCCCATGTCGACAACTCAAACACCCCATGAAGCTATAACACTATTACTACCAAACCATGTTGAATGTGAAACAACACAACTATGTTAGTCACATAGTCACGATATTGCCAGACCTATGGGTAATTGTTTTTTATTGATGAATCGATTTGTGGTCCATTGCAAAACCAGTTTGCTATATTGATTGTACTCAATTCGTGGGTCAAGGCTCGTTATTATAGAATATAGTCTCATGGTGATTAAGTTCCTTATCAATAGCAAAATAAGAACTCAATAAATGTATCTGAATTGATGCAAGGGAACATGTGAAAGCAAACCTTACAATTAATGTTTAGAACTTTGCTTTCTGTTTCAGACGTTGTAAAACCAATCCAAGAAATGATTCAATGCCAATGAATGCGGGTTGCATCAGTTAGACATCACCATTTTCTTGGTTTGTACCCTGCGGTAGTCAAACGTGGCTAGCTGGGAAATGTCCTATAAACATCATTAAACTACCATTGAACACCATTTAAGTGTGGCTGGTAAACCCTTGCCCACCACAATTTGGCTTCCAAGGTTTTCCTGGACTTTGAACTCCAGAAGGGCCATCGCCTCCTAACGGTCCGGCTAGCGCAGAAGGACTTACAGGCGGGCCGCAAATCGCAGTCCGGACGTGACCGGCCGTGATCTTTGGGTCGGCTGGTAAAAAGAATAATTTAATATAGCCATGGAAAATGGCCCATTTATAGATGGCTTACCTATTAAAAATTGTGATTTTCCATGGCTATGTTAAATAACCAGATGGTAATAAATTGTCATTTTTTAAAACATATGAAACATTTCCTGTTGAAATCGTGCGCGCGCAGGCGCGCGAGCATTTAACACATGCGCGCGCGAGGTGCTCAAGCACAGACAGGCGCGCGCGCGAGACGCGCGAGCAAATAGAGGCGCGCGCGCGCGAGGTGCGCGAGCAAGGCCAAGATGCGCGCGCGTGTTCGCGCGCGCGCGCCCGTAAGAAAATTTTTTTGTATAGGGGGCTTCTGTTAATGCAAAGGTTTCAAAAAAATGGGATTTCAATTTGGGGATATTTGACTTAGTGGTATGCTATGGTTTTGTTCTATTTGTTTCTTTATCTTTGGTTTACTTGTTTTCAGCATTATTTTGCCCTATCTGTATCTCCTCTTTATTTCTTGGTTTCGAATCTGTTGTATTTTTCATTTCTTCTCTTACCTCATTCTGTTTCATTCTGATTTTTTTCTAGGGTTGAGTGTATATTATGTGTATATATATAATATTAATTATATATATATACATAAAAACACACTATATATGTTGTTTGTATTCTGGATTGTTTTCTCTCATCCTTAGGCTTACTGCTATGATAAATTATGTTCTTTGCTCCTGTGTTCTTTGCTATATTTTGTGTTGCTTTCTGGTATTTTTATGTGCAATGTTTTTTTTTTTATTTGTGCATATTTCTCTTATTTTGTTGTTTGGATTTGCATAACTACTAGTCGTTGGGTATCTTCATTTTTCCATGGTTGTAGTTGCTTTTTCTTTTGCACGTTCTAGGTTTGCGTGGCTTGGTTTGTTGTTTTGTTCGTTGATTTCTGGTGGTGTCTCTGTTTTTTAATGTCAAATTTCAATGCAATGCTGTTAAAATGTCGAGACTGTATGTATGTCTATCTGTCTGTCTATCTATCTATCTATCTACCTATCTATCTATCTATCATTTATCTATCTACCTATCTATGCATGTAGGTATGTATGTATGTATGTATGTAGGTATGTAGGTATGTATGTATGTAGGTAGGTAGGTATGTATGTATGTAGGTATGTATGTATGCATAATGTAATGTCATGTCATGTCATGTCATGCCATGTATGTAATGTATTATGTTTGCATGTATGCATGTATGCATGCATCATGTATCTGTATCTATGATGATGCTGGGGCACATGAGACTGCCATGGGTGTAGGGGAGATGGCAGCCGGAGCCAGCAGGGCGCAAGAGAGCCAAGTGAGGAGAAAGATCCTGGGTGGGTGGCGTAGGGAAGGGCAAAGCATTTGGGTGGAGCTGTAAGAATGATAAGAATGTTCAAGAGTAAGAATGTTCAAGATGTGGTGGGCCCAGACAAGTGCCTGTTTGTTTGCCCTAAACCTTGTTTTCTTTTTTGTAGGGGGTACCCATTGCAGCTATGGCAGGGCCAGGGCTGGGGGGAGGGAGGGCGATTCTCTTGGAGAATGGTGAGTGGGGGCTGTATGTAGGGAGATGGGCACAGTTGCATTGGGCTGGGGTCGCCGGGCCTGTTCACGCAGCAGCTGCTCAAAGCAAGCAGGCAAGCAAGGAGTCAAGAGTGGAGATGTGGAGATGTGGCATTTCCAATTGGGGGGTCGGTTCTGTTTCCACCCTGCACAGCAAAGAGGCTAAAGATAGCAAAGTCTTGTTTTATTTTTGGTTTTTGGACTGGGTTCACCTGGGTTTTTCCAGGGAAAAGTGGTTTTAGGCACACCGGTTCTGTTTCCACCCTTATTTCAGAACCGCATTTCGGAACCGGTCTTGGCCCCATTTTTGCAGGGGTTTCGGGTAAAAGTCTTGTTTCGCGCGGTGAGGCACCACCAAAAGTCTGGTTTCTGGTTTTCTGGTTTTTGGGGCGTTCTTTAGCTAATCACTAACTTATTTCTTACATTGGGTAGCGTTGAAAGCCTAGCTCGATATTTAATTCAAGCCATGGCAAAGCCACCGAAACGTAGAAGCAAAAGCGGTCCACAAAGGGGTCCAGCGAGGCGAAAGGGACGATCAATTGGCATATTTTGCGCCAATGCAAAGTGTCGCAACAAAACAACTGATTGCAAGAATAAACCATTTGCTCTCAGCCGTGCTGAAGTGGATGAATCCTGCTGTAGGTCCTTGAGGCCCCAAGCACGATTGGTGAAATTTTGCAGCCAACAACATTTGGAACTCTGCAGGAAAAAAGTTGTAAACAAACGAGGAGGTAGAGAAGCGCTCAGTACAGAACAAGTCTCACTATTTTTTGCAACTGTTGTGCATGAGTGCCATGCACCATGGGCAGGCGCACTCCTACTTGTACAACTCTGTTCAGGTGATCGGGCAGATGCAGCAAGGCAAGCTAGCACAAACTGGTTTAAGAACATAGATCCTCATGGCAAAGGTTTGCCTGAGGCAAACATTCCACAAGTGAATGGTAAGACTCACCCACGGTGTGTCCCACTACCGCTAAGTTTTGCTAGGCTTCTTTGGTCATGGATTACCCAAAAACCGCTTCAATCCGAAAGAGCACAATGGCCTTTGGATGCTCAAGATTTACATGGTGCTGTGTTGAGAAACGAAGATAGGTATCTTTTCTGCGCTCGGACTGGATCTGGGCAGAACAAGCCAGTTATAGACAAACCAATATCCGAACGTTCTTTCCTGAAACAAATCAGGAAAACATGTGACATCCTTTGCAAGCAAAGGGTGGAGCACCATCGGGCAGAAAAAACCCACACCTTTGATGATGTCGATCTGTCAAAAGTAGGAACACATTCTTGGAAAAAGACAGCTGTTACCCTCATGAAGGATGGCCATGTAAGCACATCAATCATATCCACAGTGACAGGGACATCAGCCAGAACTTTAGATGATGTGTATGATGTGCCGACACAGAAGCGCCAGCGACAAGTTGTTGATGCCATTTTGTCCCCAGTCATGGCGCGGCTCTGCAGTAGGCACACTGCCAAAGAAAGTCAGAATCCATGTTATGTTTGTTCCAAACTTGTTGACATCAATTGGCAGTATTGTGCCTTCTGCGGCTCACGTTTGCACCATTCAGCATGAGAAATTTGAAGCAATTCATTATCCGAATCGTCTAGTTTTAGGTAACACAAAAAATGAGAATATCTATATCTATATCTATATCTATATCTATCTATCTATCTATCTATCTATCTATCTCTCTCTCTCTATCTCTTCATCTATGTATTTATCTATCTCTCTCTCTCTCTCTTCATCTATCTCTTCATCTATCTATCTATCTATCTATCTATCTATCTATCTGTCTATTTATCTATCTATCTATCTATCTATCCATCTATCCATCCACCTATCTATCTATCTATCTGTCTGTCTGTCTGTCTGTCTGTCTATTTGTCTATCTATCTATCGATCGATCGATCTATCTATCTATCTCTCTCTCTCTATCTCTTCATCTATCTATCCATCTATCTATAGGTAATGCTCCAAATCAGATGCTGTCAATAGGAATTTGCTGAACATTCCACTTGCAACGTCGCGAGGCTACCATGGTTGCTGCCATCATCAATTCAAGGGGCTTGTTGTTCTTTCCCAAAACATCTATTCGCAAATCATTGGCTGCAACGGTGACTGGAAATAGATTGCGACCATTCGTATTTTTCGAGGTTTACAAAACCCATGTCTTGATTGGTTCGTCGAAATACGTGTTGGGGAAATCCCAATCCTGAAGCCCAGAAAAAAACTCACAGGAAAGTGCAGCAGCCATGGTCATATGAACCCGCTTGCTGCGTCAGTCAACGTACCTGGCGTCTACAGTAGTGATGAAACCGTTCTTCATCATGCCCCCTGAAGATCAGAGTAAGGAACCCGTCTAAATAACCACCAAACTGGGGCAGTCTCAGTCTACACAATAATGACCAATTCCCCAAATGCATTGTTGGGCCAGCAATACTTATGGTTAGTTATATTTTTTCACTATTAGCATGGGTTCCATTAGTTGGGAAGTAACATCCAGATAAAGGACAATTTCTGAATCCATTGGGGGTTAGTAGACCTGGCGATCAACCCAAACAATGCCTTGCACTCAGTGGTTGGAGTTGTTGCATCCAGTAATTTGATGGGAAGTACAGCAGCATTCTGAAATTGCCATTACGTTTCAACTGGCACATTTATGGAAAGCTTTCTGCAACCTTTTTTGGTCCCATAGCCAAAAATTAGATTGACCGTGGATACATTAGAGCAAACCATATGTTTGACAGTTGGAGGGCCCCTCCCCATCAACAGATATAACAAAGGTTGACTTCATCAATCCCTGTCTAGATCACCTGCCCACCTAGCTCATCCACTCATTGCCAACTGAGCTGTTCGTGGAGGGTTGTTGCACGGCCTCGGCAGCAGGACGCCGTGGCTCATTGAGGCAGCGGGTTTCATTCCAACAACTAAAGATATTGAGATAATTGCCAAGGACTTGCCAAACGGTTAAAAACCTATAAGCACCCCACTTATTACACTTGGGTTTCATGTGTTTTGACTAGTGGAATCCAAATTATATCTTTTGGGAGGATACTGGTACAATCAGAATGACATAGATCCAGTTTTGGACAAACAATCTTTGTCAAGATCTATTTCACCTTCAGCAAGGGTGTGAAAGCAGCATTTTTCCCTCCCCTGGTCATGGTCCGCCTGAGCGGTCTTTCAGAGGCTCGAATCCCGTGGAACTGGAACATGGGGGACCAGGATCAACAGCACAATTGTTTTTTTGTACCAGAAAATATTTCGATATCCAAATGGCTTGAATAGGCCCCCAGTCCCCCATGTTGTGGAGCGGCCTTTGGCTCAATGTCAGAGCCTTCGTTGCCACGATACCCAAAGTACACTCATTTTTTCAAAATATGAATGTAATCCCATTTCCATTTTCTACTGTTTGAGTCGGAAAATCTCTAAAACAACTCACAGCACCGAGCTGGGGGCAAGTTCACTTCTCGGATGAGCACCACTTGGGGCCGAATGGGCATCAATCCAGAAACACCCCATTTCACTGAGAATACAATCTTAGTGGCATGACTGTTCCACACCGTGTTTGGGATCAACTTGGCTGCATTCTGCTGCCCAGCGGTTCCATTGCTAGACCCATTGCCTTCGTCGTCACCACCTTCTTCTTGGGCAACCCCAACACCACCACTCACGGGTACCCACCACACATCATGGGATCTCTTCAAATTGAAATTTCCCGGGCGCTTTTGATCTGGGTCCTCAGCCATGACATGGTATGCAACTTTGACTTTGGGGACCTTCTGCATCTGGGCTTGAACAACCTCGAACACGGTCTTCAGGTGCCCGTTGAAGAGTACCTGGCGAGGCGAGACAGCTTGATGGGGGTATGCAGCAGCAAACATGAATGGGGCATTGTGGTCTTCGGATTTATAGATACCTGATATAGATAAAGTTTAGGCGAAAAAGGCAGATTCCAAGCCCAGTTGGAATAAAACAATGAAATAGTATAAAACAATAACCCACAAACAGACAAACCAACACATGATAAATAAGAAATAAATAAACACATAGATAAATGAATAACAGAAAGAATAGGGTCCCATATATCGACAATAGAATATTCTTTCCATACATGTGCTGGGGGTTGAAGTCTACAAGCCGAGACCAAATAATACGTTCCCTCATATCCACAATGAAATAATATTCGTCCCATAAATTTGCTGGGGTTGAAGTCTACAACCCGAAACCAAACAATAGGGTCCCATATATCAACAATAGAATATTCTTCCCATACAATTGCTGGGGGTTGAAGTCTACAACCTCAAACCAAATAATAGGGTCCGATATATCGACAATAGAATATTCTTCCCATACTTTTGCTGGGGGTTGCAGTCTACAACCCCAAATCGAATAATAGGGTCCCATATATCGACAATAGAATATTTGCTGGGGGTTGAAGTCTGCAACCCTAAATCAAATAATAGGGTCCCATATATCGACAATAGAATATTCTTCTTATACATTTGCTGGGGGTTGAAGTCTACAACCCCAAACCATACATGATGAATCCCGAACATCCCAGCTACGAAATCATCAGGGCCGGTCAAGTTGAAGAGCACTTCTGTCCGGGGATTGGCCTCCTGTGATTGCGCATCAGCGAGCCTCCATTTGCCCTTTCCATATCCGCAAAGGATCAGTCCTGCCTTGAGTGAGGCTTCCTGATTTCCGGTGTTGAACAAATAGGGACGATTCTGGGGCTTCAGATGAAGTTGGACACCTTCGATTTTGGCATTGATCAAAGGCGTTTCCAACAGTGCACCACCTGCACCTACTGACTCGATGGTTTTGATCTTGTTGGTATCTACCTTGAGTTTCTTCGTAGCATCATTTCCATTCTGAGCATTTTTACGTTTGCGCACAGTTCGGTTTTCACCATCCTTGTTGTTCTGCCCGTCTTTCTCCTTGTCCTTTCCATTCTCCTTGTCCTCCTTCCCAGTCTCCTTGTCAGAATCTTGGGGGATGGGTCCGAACTCCTCCACCAGCTGGTCCAAGAAACTCTTGAACTCGTCCCCGAACTGCTCGTGTGAGCCATACTCCTGGAAAAGGGATACCACGAATATATGTTTCTACGGGCAGGTGTCAGGATACATATCATATAGAGTCTTATGTGTTGTACAGTGACATTTTTCATTGATTGATATATGCAATTTGTTATTGTACCATATTATACCTATTTGAGCCTATACTGGTCTTTTATTCAACCCTGCTCACGCCTGCAGCAGGTTCTGTGGAATCATTGGGTAGAAGTCCGATCGTGGAATCATCAAATTGAGGCGCGGAGGCTCTGGTTCCTTCTCCAGAATGTCAGAGGGACATTCCAGCACTGGCTTTGGGAATCCAGGAATGGTTATGTTTCCCTCCATGTGAAGGCGTCCAAGCAATTCCTGGGCAATGTCTTTTCAGGGGCAAACATCGTTGCCGGAGTCGTGTGTATATACGCATAACATGTGTTATTTTTTATCAGAAACCATTTTGACATAATAACGATTGATGGAAAAGAACAATATATATATATATATGCTACATATATAAGCCTAATAAAACAAGATTTCATGCCATGATGTCTTTTTATTCTCATCAATCCACGATCTCCTTAGAGGTCGTTGGCCTGTTTCGACGATGATCACCAAAAATCTAAGTGGATGATATCCAGAGAAAAATAACCAAGTGGGCCAAGTAATGTGCATTCATAATATTTTATCTGGAGCTGCATTTAAGACATCCAAATCCAAACAATATGCTTTCAATTCCTCCCCAAAAGCAATATAGTGAAGAGATTAAATTGGGTGGACTATGATTTTCTTTGGGCCAAATGGGCACTGGGTAGTATTCAGGAAAACCGCAAATTCGCAATGAAGCATCATATGGATCTGAACATTTTCCCATTTCACAGCAACATAGCTAAGGTTCAAAGAGAATGGATCCCTGGGGCCTAGTGGGTTGGGTCATACTCATCGAGATTTGGAAGAACTGGCCATGGAGCATTTTGAACAATATGGTTCTCTACGTAAAGGATAAGAGGGAAACTCAAGGGGAAAAACTTCTTTGGGGTTATTGTATGCCACAGTTATCAATGTTAAGGTTTGAGGGCCCCCACCATGTAATGGATCTCAAACAAGTGACCGGTTTCTGCATGCCAAACCACTCCGCGGTCTGAAAGTCATCAGTGCACCCAATGTAGAAGACGGGCATGTTCCATGTAGACTTCAGATTCGCAAAAGCATCGAACATGTTTCCTACTGACATGTTCAAGTCAACGATGAACACCCCTGATCTCCCAGTCATCTGCAAATCAGTCATCATTCCCAACAAGAGTTTCTCACATGCGTTCTGGCCAATTTGCTCCACTTTTCGGGCACCACCAAACAGGTGCTCTTCGCCTTCAGGAGCACTGATTGCAACACCGCGGGATTGGTCTTCAAGGGGGTTTCAATCATTACCATGTCCTTGGTGTGGAGTTGGGTGGCAAGTTCAGTGCGACCCTCACGCCACAGAGGGGCGTTTTTCCAAGTGAACTCCTTGTTGGATTTGGTACTCAGCCCTTCCATGAAACGGCCACGGTAGTTCAGTGGTCGCATGTTGTCACGTTGGTCCACCTGACAGAGAAGCCACGGGTAAGGTTGTTTGGATGGTTCAGCTGATACCAGGTGTCCATATGCATTCTTGGGACTTTATGTGTATGGCAAAGGTAGGTTCTGTTATATAATAGATGTAAAAATACACACACACATATATATATATACATAGATAGATAGATAGATAGATAGATAGATAGATAGATAGATAGATGAATTGCTAGATGGATAGATGGATGGATAGATAGATAGATAGATAAATAGATAGTTAGTTACTTCTGCCCATACACAGGGTGTAACATACTGTTTCTACAGACTTGAAACTGATGATTAACCATTCAATCATCTTTCGCAACTGTTTCCTAAGAGATTCAATCAATGCTGACTGGCCTTCTCTTTGAACTGAAGAGAGAAACTCTTATCCAGCGAGATTCCATGGTGAGCCAACTGTTTCATGGTGCTGCCCTCCAACATCCACAACTCCCCTTTCTTGTAAGTGAACTCTGGCTCCAGGAGCAAACCAACACTGCGGGCTGATTGGGACAAGATGAACGAGGCGCCAGATGATTGGGCGGCCCGTGCGTTGGCCTTCAGTGTCGAAGGAGCACTCCAATTGAGGAAAACCAGGCATGCCTGAGATTCAAGAGCACGACAAAGACTCGGAAAAAACAGGTAAAACATATTTGGTTTGTATCTATTCATTTTTACTTGATGTGTTGAAGTCAGGGGACATTGCCAGACTCATCGAGTTTCAAGCGCTCGGTTTTGTCACTCATGAAGCTCTGAATTGACCGGAGCAAGTCATCACTTTGGGTGTAGGTGATCACCTTGCAATTGTCGTTGATGAAAACCCTAGCCGCCTTTAATGACTCCTCATACACTTTGACTCGGTATTGGAGCTTCGTGTGATGCACCTGGAGTTCATAGGAAGACATCTTGGCCTTGGCCACTCGGCATGCCTGCACATCGTACTGAAGTTGTTTCATGCGTAGTGAGAACGTTTCTTCTTCCAACTTCGACATCTCATGCACTGCCACACTCGGAAGTGGTGCACTTTGATTGTGCGTGTTCATCACTGCAGCAATTGAGGGGATATCCCGCACATTGGTACAGTCCCGGTTCATGATGGCTGATTGCACTTCGAGAAGCACACTGGGATCCCCATGCCTAAACATGCCAACCCACTTCTCCTCCAGCAAGTCAGGGGAAACCGGCATCAATGCCAGGACCTCTTCCCTCACAGACATCACGAAGGCTGCCTCCTCAGCCGAGGCCTCCATTTGTGCTTTGTCGATCTTTCTGCGCATAGATGGTAGGATTTTGCGATGGCAATGCACTTGGTGTTGGACCTCATGTTCAGAAAAGAAAACAGACATCTTCATGGAGTCTGTGTTCGCCTATTTTTCATTCTATGGAACGCTCGCATGACAGGAAAATAAACGTTCTTTGTGCAATTTTAGTTTGATCATTCTCATGTGCTCTATAAAAGCAATGGTTTTTCGTATCTAACGGATGTGTTAATATGATGTACTGCTGCTACTTCACCACAGGTATCTCCCTATAGAACAAAGATATATAAGTAGATCACATAGATATAGGTGAGATAGTTGATAGGAGGGAAAGATGGCTGAGAGATACCGGGTATGTGGTGGCGTCCAAAATTGACGCTTTGAGCTTGCATTTCAGGCCTATTTCGGACACCAGTTTGTGCCTCTATTTTGGGCCTATTCTTAACGCTGCCACAAGGACTTGGGGCATCCACAGGCACCCCAGTTTTGAAACATACAAAAACCAAATAGATTCCTATATGGATCGTGTTTTTTGGTTTCAAGCAGAAAACTTTAAGGGGTAAAATAACACCCCATTTTGAGACATTCCCCAATGATAGATACATAGGTAAATAGACAGACAGACAGACAGACAGACAGATAGATAGATAGATAGATAGATGTATAGACCGACAGATAGATAGATAGATAGATAGATAGATAGATAGATGAGTAGATAGGTAGATAGATGGATAGATGGATCGTTCCAAAGATAAACAGACAGATGTAGATAGATAAATAGGTAGATAGGTAGATAGATGCACAGATAGGTAGAGAGATAGTTAGATAGACAGGTAGATAGATATAAATAGAAGCAGATACATATAGATAGGTATAGATAGATGGTAGACAGATATTGAAAGTTACAGATATGTAGGTAGATAGACAAATAGATACTTGGATAGGAAGACAGGTAACCAAGAGATACATCAACAGATAGATAGATAGGTAGGTAGATGGATAGAAATATAGATAGGCAGATAGATAGATAGATAGACAGATAGATAGATAGATAGGTAGGTAGGTAGGCAGGTAGATAGATAGATAGATATGATAAGAAAGATAAGGTAATATATATATATATATGTAGGTAGATGGATAGAAATATAGATATGCAGATAGACAGGTAGATAGGTAGATAGATAGATTGATATGATATGATATGATGTGATTATGTGATATGATAAGATAAGATAAAATAAGATAATATAAGATACGATAGATATATGTAGATAGATGTAGATAGATGTAGATAGATATAGATACATGACCAAGAAATATCCACAGTTAGATACATCAATGAAACAAGTAGATAGTTTGATCGATAGATACCTTGAACGATAAACTGATATCTAGATACACGTGTAATCCTTTTCCTACTTCGAACAAATCACACCGTCCAATCCCCGAATTGTGCTGAGGAGATGCCATCAGCCGATTGCTCTCCTTGGTGACCTTGCCACGAGCTTGCCATACAGGACCCGCATTGCACTTGAACCTGGGCATGTTTGAAGGTTTGGCATGGAACATGGCATGGAACATGGTACTGGATCTATGCATTTCGAGGTGGGCTTCAGGCAAAACAGGATTGGAAAAAATGGTGGGTGGATTGCTCACCGGTATCCAAAATTAACAGCTTGGTTTCTATGTATTCGACCAAATAACTGAAACCCTGGCAAAATCTTCTTTGATGAGAGGTTGTCATCGGTCCAGCCAGTGTTTTCGTGCCCGATCTCAATGGTGTAGGCAATGAGTGCCTCGCGTGCCTCCTTGTCGAAATGTTGCATGATGTTTCGGACGGACTGTGCCTTCTGCGACAGGAGTTGGCCACTCTTCGAGTTCCTGCTGTTGTGATCGTTCACCTCAGGTCGGACTCAACAGGGTCAGCCAGGGCTGGGGCAGTCTGAGCAGATCCCCTGACTTAAGTGGGAATATTCAACCAGCTGATGAACTCAGGGGCCCACCAATGCTGCCACATCTAAGTTCGGCTCGTGCACCATGAGCTTGTTGATGGTGGTGACCCATGTTCTTAGTCATTTGTGAGCTCATGTTGACTTACCATCTTTGATTTTCGTCAGTGGCAGCTGGATAAGATCATTGATTTGAGAATGAAAACTTCGCAATAGGTAAGCTCGCTTTAGAATCAACATGCACATTGCGCGTGTCAATCCCATGAGTCTGTTTCCTCACAATAAGCTCCTGGCATGACGTTTGGAGCGCGGCGGATTGAACCCCGAGTAGCATTTCCTCCTTCTTCGACGCCACCAGCATTCGCTTTGCATGAATGCAGCGGACAGTGCTGAGAAGATCAGGGTGTACCTAGTCATGATGTGGCTGAATCTGATGTTGGGTTTTGTTTCAAACTATCTTATCAAGTGGCCTGTCAGCTACGAGTCATTCTTTCCTGCTTCAGAAGGCAAACAAAACATGAAACAAGTATCGAAAATGATACATAATAGCTCAAACCATGCGAAATATCACACACATTAACAGATGTAGCAGGCAAAGCTTTGCATTCCTTTTACTTTGTTGGGCCCCAAATATATGATGATACGATATTAAAATAATTGTCCCATGGTCTGGTTTAAGCATAGTCTCAGTGTCTGATTTTAAACAACGGGCCGTGATGGATCAATTAGTTGTTTGTAAACAACCATGGCCTCAGCATAGTTGTCACAGCCAATGTCCCGTGCGAGGGCCAGCATAGCCATCAAGACAGTAACTCTCGTCTTGGCCTTGAAGTACCCCAGGCTGAAAGGCATCATCGTGTCCAGACTCTGCCTCCAAGGCGCAGCCACCGCCTGATGTCCGGAAAGTGGCTCAGAACGTTTGTGCCGGTTCATTGGTTTCATATTTCAAAAGTTAAAAGCTTTTATCAACTATGGGATTCCTACAGTAAGAGACTTTGGCTTCTGCATGACCTTTAAGCTGTCACGCTTCGGGACCTAGTTGTACTGGGATACTTTGGGTGAAATAATGTTCATTCTACTCTGTTCTTGTTTGCAGTGCAACGAACCAATACTTGTGCTCAAAACAAGAACTGACTGCCAATCTCTCATATGAACAAATTTTCATAGCAGCTGCCTGGTAGGGTCCATTGCTTAGACCAATACTCTGGAGCAGCATCAACGGTTCACCAGAAGTGATGAAGCCATCAGTCAAAATCTCTTCCATCATCAAATTGACCACGTCATTCTCTGCCGGGCCCTTCACTGAAGACTCTGGCACGTACGAGAAGCATGCTGGGTGCACGATGAAGGTTTTGGTCTGCAGTGCAGGGAGGACTCATTGTAATATGGGATACTGCTGGGACAAGAAATTGACATAAATTACGAAGATATGCACTTGGAAACCACCAATCGATATTCGCATGGATTTCTTAATTTTAACGATTAGCCCATTATGAAGTCGATTTTTCGCATGGGCAGGCCAGTGCAACCTACTTTGCCGCCAGCAACTCTTCACCTTGACAAGAGGCGTGTTTTGATTTTTCTGATTCCTCAAAACATATTTAAAGATGTAGGTACTGTATCATATTTGCTAAATACTACATGACCTTGCTAAAAACAACAATGCAGGTGAATGAAACCTAGGACAGCTGCCTTCTGCACAGCGTCGACCTTGGTACCAGGTAAGTCAGCAGAGAAGTTGAACTCTGCCGCATCCAAAGGCACAAGGTTGATGAGGTAATTCATCCATTCCTGCAAATGCTCTTGGCTCTGGAAACGCACACGAAGGTAGTTCTCAGGACCCCCATGTTCCTGGCAAACCTTCGCCATGCCTTCACGGATTGCCTTGGCATAGGCCTCTTTGTGGACATCCCCGGACACTGGAAGAAGATTCCAGGCATCCATGACACTGTCGGCACTGGTTTCTGGCACGGTAGACGCACGGTCGAACTCGTCAGCCATGAGTTCAAATCAACCCTGATTGTTAGACGGAGCTTGAGAAGATCCAAAAGTTGCTCACAAGGAAACCATAATGTTTGTTGGCACTGATCGAAAAAGAAATGGTTTCAACACAAAACCGTTATAAATTTTGTTTCCCGGAACCTTTGTAAAAACAAAAAACAAAATTTCACCACAAACTCTAGATCACCTTGCTGAATCAAAAGTTATGGTGAAAAAAAAATCGCTATAAAATTTGGTCACCCCAATGATATCATTGGATCTATACTATGCACTTCTGGTACTCCAAGTTAGGATGATATCATTGGGGTGACCAAATTTTATAGCGGAAATTTTTTTTCACCATAACTTTTGATTCAGCAAGGTGACCTAGAGTTTGTGGTGAAATTTTGTTTGTTTGTTTTTACAAAGGTTCCGGGAAACAAAATTTATAACGGTTTTGCTCGGGCAACTGTGTTATCAAGATATCATGAAACAATGATTTTTTTTTGTATCGGTTCCACTCCAAATCGAAGAGTTCGCAAAAGTTAGGACGATTTCAAAAGCAGATATCATGTCGAAAACTGAGACCATCTTTCGAAAACAGTTCTCTGTGACCATTCTGACTGATTGCAGGCTGTGCTTTCTGACGAAATCAAAGACATCGGTGCCTGCAGGACTGACTCCGTTTTTTTCTCTACACCGAGTTCACACTGATCTCTAGTCAGAGCACAAGGGCCCCCAACCAAAATCACACTGCCCCCAAGCAGTGTTGACTTCTAAATAGTCATTTGTACTGCCTGCGCCAAAACATTGCACATGGTTTCAGGGTAACGTTGTGCTTTGTCCCGTTTCCACGAGGAGGCGGGAGTGGGATGTTCTAACACACATCCCCGGCCACGAGCATGCTGGTCCTCACACAGGTCGAGGGAGCAATCAAACATAGCCTCAGCATCAGCCATACGTGATTCGTACTCCTCAGGTGTCCACTTGTCAACGTTCTACATCCTACAGGGAAGCCGAATCAAACACTGCGGGAATATTATCATAGGGAGTGATCAAAACATCCAGGTATGATAGGGAACCATCATAAAGCCTCGAACACACCATTTGATTCAAACTTATTCTATGTGTTCCTGTGAAAACAACATACATGCCTTGTCAATGGCGAGAACATGGTACAAGGCGGAGATAAAATGAGCACTTTCGGGTCCATGGCACGAATGAGATGGAAAAGTTCGGTCCGCATCCGAGGGTTCAATGCGTCCCAGCCATTGTAGGTGATGTCGAACGCAAAGTCCGCTGTGAGCCCTGCCCTGCGTGCAGTCAAGGTCACTCTGGGAGGTGAAAAGACTTCACACAAGTCTTGGGCTCTTATGATGGTGCCACTGGTGATGTATTTCTGATATGTCAAAGAAAAGTCTCCAGCCACGTCAAGAGGGTCAGGATCTGAGGCAGGCTCCAGATCTGAGTCTGACAGTGACTCATCATCATGATAATAATCACTGCTAGGCAAGGCAGGTGGTCCCCCGGAAGACGCGATGGATTCCATCTCCATGTCCTCCAAGTTGTCATACAACATACTGTCCTGGCTGGTCGCCGGTGGGGGTTGCCGAAAGGGAGTTGATGCACTGGGCATTCACTGCCCCGGCCCATTGAGTACTGAAGATTCAACCTTCAAGTATCGTGCAAACAAAAGGGTATACCCAATTGCCAAAAAAGGGATTCAAAATTGCATCGAGTTTTTGCTCTACCCACTAGAGTCCTGGCTGCTGGCAGGTGGAGATTGGCAGCTGCTGCTGCACGGTGGCAGCTGCTGTCCAGTTTCCCAGCTTAGAACCGCAAATGTTAGTGGCACAAGTCGACGTTGCTATTGAACTAGATACTATGTGTCAATGTATAATATTGTATAATCTACCACAAAGATAGGTCAGCAACTGCAACTGCACTAGATGCGATGTGCAATCATAGCTGTTGTTGCTGGTGTTGCAATGGATGGAGTCAGGTTTCCACACCGCAAGTTCCCAGAAATCTTTGAAAGCCTTTCTTCAAAGTGACACTCCCATGGCTCACTGGGTCAAAGATCTTAACGGGGTTGATTTGACAATGGTTGTGCACATGGAATCTCAAGCTACAAAAAAATATTCAATATCATTAAATAGTATGTTTCATTGACCCCCCCCGAGCCACACTTTGAGAAGACTAACATAAATACCATTCTGTCAATGGTACGGTTGGCGCTACATGACTCCCGGTTCCCTTTGGATCAGGAATCAACTTGCTGCCCCACCATGTTGCAAGTACTCATCGTATCGTGCACGGCATTGCGTGCATGATGTCCACCTGCACTTGGAGCACCCCAACTTTGTTTGAGGTTTGCGCTTGCGGCCTCGATGAGCAGCAGGCCTGGGAGGATCCTGATCCTGGGAGCTCACTGTGGGTCAAGTTTGATATCTCCTACATTTCCTTCAAGATCATATGATAAAAAGAATTGGCAACTAAAAACATATTTAATAAGTTCAAAAGGAGCATCATCTTCAGGAGCTTCTGGGCGGGCAGCTGCTTTGGCTTTCGCTTTCGCTTTAGACTTTGCTTTGCCCTTAGCCTTTGCCTTAGCCTGGCTTGCTGCTTTAGCCTTTGCCTTGCCTGCTGGTTTAGCCTTTGCCTTTGCTTTCTCCTTGGGTTTTGGTGCTGGGGCTGCTTTTGGTTTGGCCTTGTTAGCCTTTGGGACAGGTGGTGGTCCAAGTTCGACTGTGACGGCTTTTGGCGAGTCGGGTGCAAACTCCTGAAGAAGCTGATGCTCGGGGGTCAATGCAGACTTCAAGACGCTATGAGAAATCATGTCGAACTGAAACTTGGGAGGTTCCTTTTCTGAATTGTTTTGGTTGTCCGATGTCCATGTTCTCAGGTATTCAGCCGCCTTGTGCAAGTTCCAGGGTTCTTGCTCCACGAGTTTTGCAGTTTTCTCATACTCTTTTACAAGTTTCTCTGTCAGGGGGTTTCTTGGGAGAACCCCTGTGGGACCTGCCAGTGGCATATGGTCCAAAGTGCTGCGACTCAAAATGACAAGAGGTTGCTGGGAAAGATGGGTGTGGTTCATGAATTGTTTCACAAGTAGCACCACATCATCTTCAGAGGCATCCTGATCGGGTAGCTCTTGAACTTCCCAGTGTTCCTCAGGACGTCCAAATCAAGGGGGACTGCGTGGGGACCCATCATTTTTGCCCATGAGTGATAACAGCTCCCGAAACTTGAAGTTTGAGACAAAACCATCAAACATCTTTCAACAATCCATTTGCCGGGGATGCGCTATGGAAACATAATATTCTTATTAATGGCGTGATTAGTTGTCGCGTCGCTTTTTTTGATCGCGCTGCCATTGTC